TTGCAGTTTTATAACCGTAGTGTAAGCATGCCTCTGGCAAGACTGATGGAAGTTTTTCTTTTTCAGGCCACCCTGCCTTGGTGGGAAACAGCCGATGTGTTAAAAAAATAACAATACTGTACTATGTTTATTTCTACAAGTACATGTATAACGTATACAGGCCTAGCTGACATCAATGACATACTACTATACAGAAAGCTGCTCCTTATGCAGAGCATTTCGAGCAAATTAGGACAATTTTTTCCCGGGATTCAACCCACACCAGTTGACTAACACCCACGTACCCACTTTACTGATTAGTGAACATAAACAATAGGTATAAGGAAACATGCCCAACGTTTCAACCCTCGTCAGGAATCAAACTCGGACCCTCAACACGTGAAAGAATGCTGTAAGTGTGCACCATATAAAACAAATCCTGCAGAACACAGTGCATGAGGAAAAAACTGCAACATTGTTTTTGGTTTAAAACAGTTTATGGTGTATTTTTGTATGATTTTTATAGTTTTATTCATGGTTTCTTGGTCTCATTTAATAGAATGGAAAATATATTACAGATAGAGATGGATTTGATTGGTTTGAGGACTAAAAATAACTTGAAAGTGAGCTCGAAGTAGCAGAAATATTTGATTTTTACCAATATTCCAGAGTGAATAAATTGTGTCACTCATTTAGTACGCATCCAACTGGTCGGTCCAATATGTATTCACGAATGCATTGACGTTATTTATATAATTATTACAATAACACATAACAGTAAATCTATTTTGTGTGAATAAAAAAATCAAAATGGAATTCATGTATAAAGCCTGAGAACATAACTAATGAATAGAGGAAATGTTATTTTAGTGCAGGTATACCTGCACTGTTTATTCTGAACCCTACTTTGAAATTGGTATATTTTGAAATTTGTACAAAATTGGCCAAATTACCAATTTCTGATCGCTTTATTGAGTAGCTGAAATAGTTGATTGGGCGGTTTCTTGTGCTCAATCAATAAAATGGAAAACACATTAGTGAAATAGCTAAGAATCTGGTCGACTGGAACAACATAATTGGCCTAAAACTGGACTCAGAGGGCAAAATCACCGATGCATAAATATCGCTGACACAGCACAATTTGTGAAAGCGTAATTTCATCTATTTTCCATCAAATTTCTTTCTTTTTGTTTTATTACCTTCAGAAAAGGATTCTCTATGATTTCATAAGAAAAACTAACAAATTTTGGTGGGAAATTCTTGGACACTGGATACTGTCCACATCAGGAGTCTGGACACTCAATGGGTTAACCCTTTTACTGTTTCGGTCGTATATATACGTCTTACGCGCCACTGTTTCTGACATTTATACGCGTAAATTCTAGCGGCTTCAAATCAAGCGGGAGAAAGCTGGTAGGCCCATATGTGAGAGAATGGGTCTGTGTGGTCAGAGTGCACCACATAAAAAAAATCCTACAGCACACAGTGCACAATGAGAAATAAAAAAACTGAGTTTTTTTTTTGACCTGTAGTAACTTTAAGAAACATCAGCAATAAAATATTTTTAGGATAGGCAGAATGACCTTGAAAAGGCAATCAACAGTTATTTTGAGTCGTGTGTTACACCAGGTCAATCACGCATCAGTTATGGAGGCACACTAGGGCAATTACAGCAAACACATCTGTATATCTACCACGAACAAGGGAAGTTCCGCGTAAGTTATAATTGTAAATTTACTTCTGATATATTGAAAAAAAAAATTCTCACACAACACACTGTACAATAATTATAAGGTTTTGCTAGGTCATTTTTGGTTGGGTTAAGTTTGGCTACATAGGTTTGTTGGGTTATGTTACTTTAATGAGGTTAAATTGGATTATGTTAGGGAAAGATACTTTGAATAAGTTATTTAGGCACAGATACACATACCTTATACCTTTAAACCTTTGAAGAATTTCGAGAGTATATCTACTTTGAGCCCGGCCATAGGCCAGGCTCGTCTAGTGCTCACCTGGTCAACCAGGCTGTTGCTGCTGGAGGCTCGCTGCCCCACATATCCATCACAGCCTGGTTGATCTGGCACCTGGTGAAGATACTTGTCTAGTTTCCTCTTGAAGGCTTAACACTTGTTCCAGCAGTGTTTCTGATATCTTCTGGTAAGATGTTGAAAAGTCTGGGACCCTGGATGTTGATAGTGTTCCCTTATTGTCCCCACCACACCCCTGCTCCTCACTGGGTTTATTTTATACTTCCTCCCAAATCTCTCACTCCAGTATGTTGTTATGGCAGTGTGCAAATTTGGGACCAAGCCCTCGAGTACCTTCCAGGTATATATATCATGTACCTCTCTCTCCTCCACTCCAATGAGTACATGTTCAAGACTTGCAGGCATTCCCAGTAGTTTAGGTGCTTTACTGGCTCAATGTGAGCCGTAAATGAACTCTGTATTTGTTCCAGCTCCGATATTTCTCCTGCCCTGAACAGGGCCGTCAGCACTGAGCAATATTCTAAGTGAGGGAGCACTAGCAATTATCATACATAGTATAAATTACCTAGGATAACCTCCAAAAAATTGTCAGTGGCTTATTTCCACTGGGGTCCTTATTACTGAAATTAATAAGGTGTTCATCTCAATAATGATCCTTCTCTTGCATGTATGCTGATACTACTGTTTAAACTATTGCTGATTATTTGCATATATCATACTGAATAAACAGATGATGGTTCACAATATATACAGTGCTGAAAATATCTAACAAAGTATAAGAATGGATTAAAGTTGGATAAACATGGATTTAGTAAAGGATAGGGGAAACCACAGTTTAGTAACAGTTGTGAATGAGTAGAATAAACAAGCAAAAGCAATTGGCACAAGCACTGATAGGCTTAATAGTAGGCTAGACACTGGAAATATAAACACACATGCAGTTTAATGTGATCCTTTATTGACAACATTTCGCCCACACAGTGGGCTTTTTCAAGTAACAAACAGATCTACCTGGGGTGGAAGGTACGCGAATATTTATAGTCAGGTTCAGAATGTTGAGGTCGGGTGGAGAATGCTGCATCTGATGATGTACCGAGTGGGGTTAGAGTCTAGAATCTTGGGTAGCTTGGAAGGGAGATTGGATAAGTTTGTGAGCAGACCTTCTGCAGTGTTCTTCCATTCCTATGCTCTTATGTAGGATAGCGATGAAGTTTCTTGGCAAGTGGTTCAGCTATGTTGTAGAAGCCATTGTTCTGGTTGAAAATGTTGGTTATAGAGATAAGCGATGATTCTAGGATTCTTCCTGCGCGCACTCAGAATCTGCAGCAATGAGTTCCTTGAGGAAGAATGCACTATAATTGAACAAGTATTTTCTAAACTCCACTATCCTCGTCACTTCATCAGAGACTGCAGACGGCGGGCATTAAACATCTTCAACACATCAAGAGAAGACACTGCCGAGAAGAGACACATAGTCCTCCCCACCAACTCCATTGCCAAACATGTTTCCAACATCTTTTCAAATACCTCATTCCAAGTATCTACCTCCACAACCATGACCATCAAGGACATTACCAGTAATAGACAGGACAAGCTTCCATCCTCTGCAGGGGTATACATAATCCCTTGTAATGACTGCAGCAAATTATACGTGGGCAAAACATCAAGAGACCTCCAAACACATATTTCAGAACACAAATACGCAAGGTCTGACGATACAAGGAATGCCTGTGTACAACACCGCAATTCATACAACCATTTAATTAACTACATTAACTCAAGACTTATCACCAGAGAAGACAACACCCAATACCCAGAATCCTAGAATCATCGCTTATCTCTATAACCAACAATTTCAACCAGAACAATGGCTTCTACAACATAGCTGAACCACCTGCCAAGAAACTTCATCGCTATCCCACACACGAACATAGGAATGGAAGAACACTGCAGAAGGTCTGCTCACAAACTTATCCAATCTCCCTTCCAAGCTACCCAAGATTCTAGACACTATAACCCCACTCGGTAGATCATCAGATGCAGCATTCTCCACCCGACCTCAACATTCTGAACCTTACTATAAATACTCGCATACCTTCCACCCCAGGTAGATCTGTTTGTGACTTGAAAAAGCCCACTGTGTGGGCAAAACGTTGTCAATAAAGGATCACATTAAACTGCATATGTGTTTATATTTCCATTGTGTCTGTATTTTATACCACTCATTTCCAGGCTAGACACTAGTGGAAGTGGTTGGGTGCTAGTACAACCCCAATGGAAATAACTAACTTTTTTGGGTTATCCTAGATAATTCATAACTAAATAAGAATTATAATTAAACATTATATAACTTTACCCTAATAAACTTACTCTTATAAGCCAGTTGGCCTACTGCAGTGCTGTTGCATTTTTGTTGATGTCAAGTCATTTAATATTACGCATATTTACAAGTATTATTCATAATTCATAGCAGTATATACCATAAAACATGGTACAGGTAAGGAAGATGGACCTCCATTAAGGTTAGAGTCAAGACGAAATGTTAGGTGTAGGATCATGCTTGCAACACTAACATAGGTATCAATATTGCAGGCCAAGATGTACCCTAGTACTCTCTGGGTACTGCTGCCCAACAAGCAGTGCCAACAAGAGCCACGGAGTGTCACAGTGAGGTGTAGGAGGCCCTGAATGCCACACTAGTGTGGACTCAACTCCAAGCCCACACCAAGATCATTTCCCCAAACATTGCTTTATTTAAGACATTTATTACATTTACGAGTGTTGTGGTGAGAGCAGTGAAAGAGGCGAGTGTGGCAGCATAACTAGGAGGCTACACAGGTCAATATAAGTGGGTATAAGAGGTACAGAGTGTATGAAAGGCTAGTGTACCCAAACAAACAGTAGCGCGTGGTGGCGTGAGGAGGTAGCACGGTGCTGCGCGCCGCCGCGCCGCCTAATATTTACTAGTAACACCAGTGTTTATCACCTCTCACGCCCTCTACACTCATATTTAACACTTCACCTCATGCTTACCCTTTCTCCTCGCCATCATGGGGCATGTTGCGTCCTCTGGGAGCATTGCCACCGCCAGGGTGAGCCATCATGTCCCGCCATGCAGTATCTTTCTTCATGTTGGTGGTGTTGTTGGGTGCTGGTCAACATGGAGTCTCACACAGCGTCCCCCGCCACCAACACCAACAACACCAACACATTAACTATCACGTTTTACTACATTACTCAACACTTACTACCCCCACCACCACGCGCAATACACTACGATCAACAAATAAACAAATAAACATGGTTAAAACGTAATACTGGGAAGTAATAAGAGGAATAAGACAAGTTGAAAATATGAAATTTAACAAAAGAACCAAGAAAAACACTTGAGTACGCACAAGCGTACGAGGGTACGCCACGATCAATAATCAACTATCTTCAACACCATTTACGCATTTTACACCACTAAATATACCCCAAATAAGTACTAACATATACTTGCTATCACAGTTACTACCGCGGTAGGGAATATATTTCAAATATATATACTAAGTTAAGACGGTTCCGTTATCAGTTACTTCTCATATTTTAAAGTCTTATTTATGAGTATACTACTACGCACCGAAACTTTATTGATTTATACTCAACACTCAACACTTACTTAAAAACTTTTCTAATGTTAACTATTTATTTTTTATAATTAATGAAAAAACTCGCTAAAATCGACTTTTAATTCCCAGATTATTGTAATTTTGCTAACTAATTACATTTAGCTTCATTAAAATTATTATTAAAGCTTTTAATATAAGTCTAATTAATTTGTAATAATAATTATAGTTATTAAGAGTATATCAGTTTATATATGAAGCATTTACACTATGCGTTCAAACTTCAACACTTTATACGCTTGTTTCCTATTTTTAAAATAATTATTGTATGTGAATGGGAACATGTTCAAAATAAAAATATAAATTATTGCACAGTACTAAATTAATTATTATCAATCGTATTATAGAGTCCAGCCAAATATTTATGTATTATATTTTAATTATAATAAATAACTAATTTATAAATACCTTTACGTCATGATATATTTAACTATAAAATGCGTATTTTTCGCAAGTCTTTGTTTGAATAGTTAAGACAATATATGTTGTCAAAAAGTATTGTTTATGACATACATGAATGGTAGTGTACACAAAAACATGTGCTCGAGACTGTGGCTCTTCACTCACTTTTATATATTAAGAACAAAAGGAGGGAGGATAGGCCGGCCTTTCATTCTTATAAAAGAAACAAACTTAAAGTACTTCAGTCTTTAGAAAATAGTGAGATAATTATTCTAGGAATTGACTAAGCATTAGCCTTAAGTTTATATTGAGGGTAGTTTTCACCATGTCTCGTCTCATTATTAAGAATCTTCCGCTGCAGGTGAGTTAACTAGTGCTCACACACCACTAATATATAATAAGCACTGCAGCAGGACTATTGGTTCATGTTATAATAATCTTTATTCCTACAAGTACATGAACAAGGTACACAGTCTGGCTGACATCAATGACACTACTATAAAAAAAAACCGCTTGTTATGCAGAGCATTTTGGGCAAATTAGGTCAGTTTTGTCCCAAGATGCGACCATCACCAGTCCACTAACACCCAGGTACCTGCTTACTGCTAGGTGAACATGGACATCAGGTGTCTTCAGGAAACAAGTCTTAATTAATGTTTCCACCCATACCGGGGATCGACCCCCCCGGACCTCAGTGTGTGAGCTGAGAATGCTAGCAATAGAGCTACATAGGCATATCTAGTCAATGCATATAAGTCATCTCTTGATTTACTTGATGTTCCCTTTGTGGTTGAGCTGATAGTTGTCAGGAGTGACTTATAACCTAACCTAACTGATGTAAATGTCCTTTAGTAACATTGGTTTGTGTTGACCCCTACTGACTACCCAGTACTTTTCACTCCAGTTGATGGTGCATCTGTACTCCGGTATGGTTGCCTCTCTTGTCGGTGGGTTGTGCTGGGGGATTGGTTGGCAGGACCATTTAATATGCCAGAATAAAATGTCAAGGACAGGTATTATTCGACTTCTAAAACATAATGTTTTTGAAGGGCTGTCTTGACAAACAAATACAGTGTTCCGCACTCAGCTCACACATTGGCCCATGGTTCAATCCCTAGTACAGGTGGAAACATTTGGGTGTGTTTCCTTATACCTTTTGTCCCTGTACACCTAGAAGTAAGTAGGTACCTGGGTGTTAGCCTACTGGTGTGGGTCACATCTTGGGGACAAAATTAATCTAATTTACCCAAAATGTTCTACATAACTAGGGGCTTTCTATATAGTATGTCATTGATGTCAGCTATGGTCTGTATACATTGTACATGTACTTATAGAAATATTATTATTATTATTAAGGACCCCAAGGAAGTAAGTCACTGACTTTTCTTGGGTTATCCTAGGTAATTTACTCCTATGTTACTGGGTATGATAATTGTATGTGTGTACCTGTACCTAAATAAACTTATTTACTATGTACTTGTCTAACTCATTTTTACAGCAGTGTAGTTTGTTTAACACAGTTTGCTCCACACATCCACAACTCTATCATCAAAACAGCCCTTCCTATGGCCTTTCTAAACCTAAATTCTTCCACTTAACCCAATACTGCAAGTACCATCTTGGTTAGATATTTTCATCACATTATTTATATCCTTTTATTTATTCCTGTCTTCCATTTATATATATATATATATTTTTTTTTATTTTTATTAACACAAAAGCTGTTTCTCACCAAGGCAGGGTGGCCCAAAAAAGAAAAACTTGCAGCATTCACTCCATCACACTCTTGCCAGAAGCGCACTTACTCTACAGTTATAAAACTGCAACATTAGCACCTTAACTTCAGAGTGCCGGCACTGAATTCCCCACCTCCAGGACTCAAGTTCAGCTTGCTGGTATCCCTGAATCTCTTCATTAATGTTACCTTGCTCACTTCAGTTATTTTTTTTTATTATTAACACACTGGCCGATTCCCGCCAAGGCAGGGTGGCCTGAAAAAGAAAAACTTTCACCAACATTCACTCTATCACTGTCTTGCCAGAAGGATGCTTTGCACTACAGTTTTTGAACTGCAACATTAACACCCCTCCTTCAGAGTGCAGGCACTGTACTTTCCATCTCCAGGACTCAAGTCCGGCCTGCCGGTTTCCCTGAATCCCTCCATAAATGTTACTTTGCTCACACTCCAACAGCACGTCAAGTATTAAAAACCATTTGTCTCCATTCACTCCTATCAAACACGCTCACGCATGCCCGCTGGAAGTCCAAGCCCCTCGCACACAAAACCTCCTTTACCCCCGCTTCACACCCATATAAGAGCGTTGGTAAAATATACTCTCATACATTCCCCTCTTTGCCTCCAAGGACAAAGTTCTTCGTCTCCACAGACTCCTAAGTGCACCACTCACTCTTTTCCCCTCATCAATTCTATGATTCACCTCATCTTTCATAGACCCATCCGCTGACACGTCCACTCCCAAATATCTGAATACATTCACCTCCTCCATACTCTCTCCCTCCAATCTGATATTCAATCTTTCATCACCTAATATTTTTGTTATCCTTATAACCTTATTCTTTCCTGTATTCACCTTTAATTTTCTTCTTTTGCACACCCTACCAAATTCATCCACCAATCTCTGCAACTTCTCTTCAGAATCTCCCAAGAGCACAGTGTCATCAGCAAAGAGCAGCTGTGACAACTCCCACTTTGTGTGTGATTCTTTATCTTTTAACTCCACGCCTCTTGCCAAGACCCTCGCATTTACTTCTCTTACAACCCCATCTATAAATATATTAATCAACCACGGTGACATCACACATCCTTGTCTAAGGCCTACTTTTACTGGGAAATAATTTCCCTCTTTCCTACATACTCTAACTTGAGCCTCACTATCCTCGTAAAAACTCTTCACTGCTTTCAGTAACCTACCTCCTACACCATACACTTGCAACATCTGCCACATTGCCCCCTATCCACCCTGTCATACGCCTTTTCCAAATCCATAAATGCCACAAAGACCTCTTTAGCCTTATCTAAATACTGTTCACTTATATGTTTCACTGTAAACACCTGGTCCACACACCCCCTACCTTTCCTAAAGCCTCCTTGTTCATCTGCTATCCTATTCTCCGTCTTACTCTTAATTATTTCATTAATAACTCTACCATACACTTTACCAGGTATACTCAGCAGACTTATCCCCCTATAATTTTTGCACCCTCTTTTATCCCCTTTGCCTTTATACAAAGGAACTATGCATGCTCTCTGCCAATCCCTAGGTACCTTACCCTCTTCCATACATTTATTAAATAATTGCACCAACCACTCCAAAACTATATCCCCACCTGCTTTTAACATTTCTATCTTTATCCCATCAATCCCGGCTGCCATACCCCCTTTCATTTTACCTACTGCCTCACGAACTTCCCCCACACTCGCAACTGGCTCTTCCTCACTCCTACAAGATGTTATTCCTCCTTGTCCTATACACGAAATCACAGCTTCCCTATCTTCATCAACATTTAACAATTCCTCAAAATATTCCCTCCATCTTCCCAATACCTCTAACTCTCCATTTAATAACTCTCCTCTCCTATTTTTAACTGACAAATCCATTTGTTCTCTAGGCTTTCTTAACTTGTTAATCTCACTCCAAAACTTTTTCTTATTTTCAACAAAATTTGTTGATAACATCTCACCCACTCTCATTTGCTCTCTTTTTACATTGCTTCACCACTCTCTTAACCTCTCTCTTTTTCTCCATATACTCTTCCCTCCTTGCATCACTTCTACTTTGTAAAAACTTCTCATATGCTAACTTTTTCTCCCTTACTAGTACTCTCTTTACATCATCATTCCACCAATCGCTCCTCTTCCATCCCGCACCCACTTTCCTGTAACCACAAACTTCTGCTGAACACTCTAACACTACATTTTTAAACCTACCCCATACCTCTTCGACCCCATTGCCTATGCTCTCATTAGCCCATCTATCCTCCAATAGCTGTTTATATCTTACCCTAACTGCCTCCTCTTTTAGTTTATAAACCTTCACCTCTCTCTTCCCTGATACTTCTATTCTCCTTGTATCCCATCTACCTTTTACTCTCAGTGTAGCTACAACTAGAAAGTGATCTGATATATCTGTGGCCCCTCTATAAACATGTACATCCTGAAGTCTACTCAACAGTCTTTTATCTACCAATACATAATCCAACAAACTACTGTCATTTCGCCCTACATCATATCTTGTATACTTATTTATCCTCTTTTTCTTAAAATATGTATTACCTATAACTAAACCCCTTTCTATACAAAGTTCAATCAAAGGGCTCCCATTATCATTTTCACCTGGCATCCCAAACTTACCTACCACACCCTCTCTAAAAGTTTCTCCTACTTTAGCATTCAGGTCCCCTACCACAATTACTCTCACTTGGTTCAAAGGCTCCTATACATTCACTTAACATCTCCCAAAATCTCTCTCTCTCCTCTGCATTCCTCTCTTCTCCAGGTGCATACATGCTTATTATTACCCACTTCTCGCATCCAACCTTTACTTTAATCCACATAATTCTTGAATTTACACATTCATATTCTCTTTTCTCCTTCCATAACTGATCATTCAACATTACTGCTACCCCTTCCTTTGCTCTAACTCTCTCAGATACTCCAGATTTAATCCCATTTATTTCCCCCCACTGAAACTCCCCTACCCCCTTCAGCTTTGTTTCGCTTAGGGCCAGGACATCCAACTTCTTTTCATTCATAACATCAGCAATCATCTGTTTTTTGTCATCCGCACTACATCCACGCACATTTAAGCATCCCAGTTTTATAAAGTTTTTCTTCTTCTCTTTTTTAGTAAATGTCTATAGGAGAAGGGGTTACTAGCCCATTGCTCCCGGCATTTTAGTCTCCTCATACGACACACATGGCTTACGGAGGAAAGATTCTTTTCCACTTCCCCATGGACAATAGAAGAAATAAAGAAGAACAAGAGCTATTTAGAAAAAGGAGAAAAACCTAGATGTATGTATATATATATGCATGTGCGTGTCTGTGAAGTGTGACCAAAGTGTAAGTAGGATAGCAAGATATCCCTGTTATCTAGCATGTTTATGAGACAGAAAAAGAAAACAGCAATCCTACCATCATGCAAAACAGTTACAGGTTTCTGTTTCACAGTCATCTGGCTGGACGGTAGTACTTCCCTGGGTGGTTGCTGTCTACCAACCTACTACCTACAACTTCAGTTATATCCCACCTAATTGTTCATATGTCTGGAGAGTGCAGATCAAATGCCCTCAGTCTGTCTGTCCTTGTGTGAAAGTCATTCTTCTTTGACTGTGAAAACAGTACACAACACTGACAGATTGGTAAGTAAGACGCATGTGCAACAGTTAGGTATCTTCATTCTGAAATATTTCACTTACACAGTAGGCTTCTTCAGCCAAGTACAAAGGTTTAGCAGATGTAAACCACTGTATGGGTGGGGCTTGAACTCGCTGCAAATGAGTTGAGTCATTGTGACAGCTTTGGATAAATCTTGTTGTAGTTTGGATAAATCTTGTTGTAGCCAGCTCGTCCAGTGGCCTACACACTGGCCTGGAGTTTTAAGACTCGCTTGCCACGAGTTCAAGCCCCGCCCATAAACTAGTTTGTTTGCAATTGTGTTATTACAATTTTGAGTCATTTAGCAGTAGTAGAGATGTGAAGATGATGTAATCAATCCATCACCCTTGAAGACTTAATTTTGAGGTTGTCAGTCCTTCAGCCTGGAGAAGAGTTTTGCTCCATAAAAATACCTGTTGTGCAACACAATGTTGTCTTGGTAGAGAATACACCTTCAACAAATTTTTCAAGTGGGAATGGATGGATTTGAAAGGGACCTACCCCCTCAGTAATTACATTCTTTGAGAAATAGTATGGTGATATAAGTCGCCATGCTGTTTGTTCAACTTCACATTGTTTCAGACTATGGAGCAAAACTTCTCTGGGTTGAGGGATTGACCACCTCAAACCTACGTCTTCAAGGATGTTAGACTGATTACATTGGTTTTGCAATTTTACTACTACTGCTAACTCTTCTGTGTAGGTAGAACATTTTGAAATAGATACCTAACTGTTACACATGTGTTTTACCTATCCTATTGTATTATATAAGAATTCTATTAGCTTGATTGCAAACACTTGTGCACTGTTGTCTTGGCTTAAGATTACTGTTAACATAAGACCTTAGGAATAAAGGAACACTATAGTATGCCTACTGGCCCGAACTAGGCAGGGTGTACCGTGGCTTGGTTGGCAGTGCTCTCGCCTCACACACTGTCTGTGGTTCAGTCCTTATACATGTATTAGGCAGGTCCTTCACAAATCCATCCCACTAACAGAATATTTTCCCAACCTATTGTCAATACTGCCCAAGCAATAAGCTTTGATAAATCTATTTACTCATGTGCAAGTCCCACTCAAATCCAACCCCTCTCACTCGTATATTTATCCAACCTATATTTAAAATTACCCTAGGTTTTAGCTTCAGTAACCTTACTAGACAGACTGTTCCACTCATCAACTACCCTATTTCCAAACCAATATTTTCCTATATCCTTTCTAAATCTACACTTACCTAATTTGAATTCATTATTGCAGGTTCTCTTTTGGAGAGATATCCTCAAGACCTTATTTATATCCTCTTTCTTAATTCCCACCTTCCACTTATACACTTTAATCATGTCTCCCCTCAATCTTCGTCTTACAAGTGAATGTAATTTAAGGGGCTTCAATCTTTCTTCATATGGAAAATTTCTAATGCTATGTATTAGAAAACATCCACATGAAGAAAGATTGAAATCCCTTAAATTACATTTGCTTGTAAGATGGAGAATGAGGGGAAACATGATCGAAGTGTATAAGTGGAAAATAGGTATTAACAAAGGGGATATAAATAAGGTATGGGTGTAAACGCTGGGCATGTTTCCTTACATTTGCTGTCCCTGTTCACCTAAGAGTAAGTAGGTACCTGGGTGTTAGTCGACTGGTGTGGGTCGCATTCTGGGGGACAAGATTAAAGGACCACAGTGAAAATAAGACAGACAGTCACCAGTGACATGCTGACTTTCTTGGGTTATCTTGGGTAACTAACCCTCTAGGTAAAAAATCTTGCACAAATTTTATCTTATCTCTGTCCTCAGATTGAACCCTTCCTGCATATTTGTCATGTCTATTCCCAAAGCTACCCAAGAAGTTAGCTTCAATACCTCAGGTCTTCAAAAAACCCAACCCTTCTTACTCTTATATTTGCCTCTCCTATTTTAAAACCACCTTAGGTTTTAGCTTCTTTGACCCTACTTGGCAGATTGTTCCACTCATTAACAATTCTGAAAACCAGTACTTTTCCTATGTCCTTTCTGAATCTAAACTTGTCTAATTTAAATTCAGTGCTTCAAGTTTTTTCTTGATTTGATATCCTCGGTAATTTATATCTCGTTTGTTTGTACCAGTCCTTCACTTGTATATACTACTTCAATAAGTATTTTTCCTTATTCTATGTCTCTCAAGAGGGTGAAGGTTCAAGGCTCTCAATCCATACTCATATGAGAGATTCTGTATACAATGGATTATTTTTGTCATCCTTCTCTGTATGTTCTCCAGTGCATTTATATTCATTCTGTAGTATGGTGACCAAACCTGAGCTGCATAATCTAATTGAGGTTATTCTATGATATATATAGAGCTGTAAAATAATTTATGGACTCTGTACTTATACTTAATATAAATCCAAACAATCTGATGGCCTTTTTGCACACACTGAGACACTGTTGTCCTGGCTTCAGATTTCTGCATACCATCATTACCAAATCTTTTTCACATTCTGTATAATAAAGATCTACATCACCTTGTTTATTACTATGAGGGTATTTTCATTCTCAGTGATTATTACTTTACACTTGTCCACATTGTACTGCATCTACCATTTTTGAGACTATAACATTAGTTTGTCCAAATCTTCCTGAAGTTCAATGGTGTCCTCCTCGGAATCTCTGATTCAGCCTATTTTTGTGTCATCAGTGAATTTAATCATGTCACCTGTTATTCCTTCGTCAAGGTCATTTGTATAAATTATGAACAGCAATGGGCCTGAAACTGATCCTTGTGGAATGCCACTTGTGACTAGTCCCCATTCAGATTTCACCCTAGTTATGCTGTTTTCTATTGGTCATCCATTCCTCAATCCACGTTAGAACCTTTCTTCCAATACCACGAGTAGAAAACCTTGCTGAAATCTAAATAATCAACAACATATTCTTTTTCGTGGTCCACTGTCTCAAATACTTTATTGAAGGTCATTAAATTTCTCAGGCAGGAATAACCTCTTGTGAATTTTTTTTAAGACTCAGTAATCAAATTATGCTCATTAACCCTTTGAGGGTTTTGGTCGTACTAGTACGTCTTACGTGTAGGGGTTTTTGACGTACTAGTACTCATAAATTCTAGCGGCCTCAAATCTAGTGGGAGAAAGCTGGTAGGCCTTCATATGAAAGAATGGGTCTATGTGGTCAGTGTGCACAGTCTAAAAAAAATCCTGAAGCACACAGTGCATAATGAGAAAAAAAAAACTTTGACCATTTTTTTTAATAAATCAGCGACTTTGCAGTGTATTTTCGTATGGTATTTATTGTTGTATTCTAGTTTTCTTGGTCTCATTTTATAGAATGGAAGACATATTACAGAAATTGAGATGATTTTGACTGGTTTTACAATGAAATGTGCCTTGAAATTGAGCTCAAAGTAGCAGAAATGTTCGATTTTTACCAAACTTCAAAAGTAAACAAATCATGCCAAGCGTGCAATACACGTCAACTGGTGAGTCTAATATTCTTTCACAAGTGCACCAATAATATTTATACCATTTTTTACACTAATGCAGTAGTCTGCATAACAGTAAATCTTATATTTTTTGTGAAAATAAAAATTCAAAGTGGAAAGCAAAAGAATATAAGCGGGGCCTTGAGACGTGACTAATGACTAGAGGAAATGTCATTTTAGTGCCAGGAATGTCTTTCTTGTTTATTCTGGACCCTATTCGGAAATTGGCATCTTTTGAAAATTGTGTGAAATTGGCAAAATTGCTAAATTCTGACCACTGTACTGGATAGTTGAATTTCATAAATGGATGGTTTCTTGCACCCATTCGATAGAAAAAATGGAGTTCTAGCGAAATATTCATGTTTTTTGTCGACTAGTCCAGTGAAATTGGCCGAAAATGGGGCTCAAAGTGGGCAAAAACGCCGATGCGTAAACATCGCCGAGACCGCTAACTTTGCGAGAGCATAATTCCGTAAGTTTTCTATCAAATTTCAAACTTTTGGTGTCTTTATGATCGGGAAAAGATTCTCTATCTTTTCATAAGAGAAAATAATTTTTTTTTTTTTTTTAAATTTGGCCGACCCTGAGAACGAGTTTCGGAGAGGGCCTGTCGACCCTCAAAGGGTTAAGGTGGCTTCTTATTTTATTGGCTATAATTGATTTTAACAATTTACCTATTATTAATTTCAGGCTTATTGGGCAGTGATTTGATAGAATTGACTTATCCAGTGATTTAAAAATAGGAATTACATTAGCTATCTTACACATCTCTGGCACAACACCAGTTTGGATTGATGTGTTAAACAGGCTTGTTTATCGACCACAGAAAGAGCCATTGATACAGTAGACCACAACATTCTACTACTCAAATTAGAAAATTATGGAATAAGAGGACATGCTTTCTCTCATACATAAAATCTTACTTGAGTGGCAGCAACTTGTAACCATTAATAAAACTGCTATTCAGCAACCTGACAGATCAACGTAGAACTAGGGTAAATTCTTGGGAATACACCAGGAGAGCAAACTAAAATTCAGCACTCACTTTCAGAACATTTCTAATAAAATTTCAAAAACCCTCCTCATTCAAAAGTGAAATTTCATGTCAGTAAAGACATGAAACTGTTGCACATGTCTTACTCACCATACAAGATTGTTGAAGTCAGTGTGTGGGGGGGGGGGGGCATTTATCTTGTTAGTGAATTCTTGTATAAAGTAAAATAAAATATGCATTATTTTGTATTCCTCTATTTCAGATTTCTGAAGATGATATCAAAACACTGTTCAGCAAGAAAGGCAACATCACAGATGTAAAGCTGTTGTTTAAGAATGGAAAGTTTCGACGGTTTGCCTTTGTAGGTTATGAGAAGGAGGGAGATGCAGTGGCAGCATGTAATTTCTTTAACAATACCTTCATAAAGCAATCCAAAATCAGTGTAGAACATTTTCAGGATTATAGTAAGTTATGCATTATGCTTATTGATAAACTTTTAGCTTAAAAGTTTACTTCTGTGTGTATTAATCTTTTAAGTTGAAAAAAAATCCATTTAGTTTTCTCTAAAATATTTTTCCTTCTTCATAGAGTATAATACAGTAACCTTTGTTATGTTTTGTTCAGAAGGAATTTTAAAAGAAAAAGGCTCAACAAGATAGCTAGACTAATTCATATGCAGTAATATAAACCCTGACATTCATATGTAACTTTAATTAGGTACAGGTCTGTTTAAGTACATTTATCATACATAGTAACATGTTAATGCAACTACAGAACAAAGTGGTTTTTAAGCAAATACAGTACTGCGGCCAGCCGAGAATCGAACCCAAGACATTTAGCTCTGCTCCATGGAATCAAGCTAACCTCCCAATGCCTTAAACCACTTGACCATCATCCTACAAACTTTAGGGATCAAATGTACTTGCTGCATCCCTGGAGCTAAATGTCAAGGGTTTGATTCCCAGCTGGTTGCGATATTATATTTGCACAGTAATGTGTGTAAATTATCTAGGATAACCCCCCCCCCCCCAAATCAAAGTGACTTATTTCCACTGGGGTCCTTGTTTATGTTTTGTTATATCAAAACTTACCACGTCGCTTAGATCTAAATTTATTATAATGTAGAAAACATTGAGAAATCAGTAATGCTTTTCTGTACATTACAGTATATACTGTGTAGTATAGGGATGTGAACTATCTTAGTAAGGAGGTAGTAACTAGGTTGAAAAAAAATTGGAGTAGATATAAGATTGGAGTGCTAAAGTGTGCATCAGAAATATGTGGGTATAGGAGGATGGGTGTGGATAAGAGGATTGTGGAATAATGGGGTAAAGAGAATGGTAAGGGAAACTTTTAGAATGTAGTTATGATGTACGGAGGGTAGAGAATACGGAGAGAAAAACTGGGGTTAAAAGAGTATTGAGGTAGTGCAAAAGGAAAGTCATTGAGAGAGTGGGTGAGGCTTTATCAGCAAAATTTGCTGAGAATTAAGAAAAAGTTTTGTAACGAGACTACAATATTTAATAAGTTAACCCTTAAACTGTCCAAACGTAGATCTTTCTTCACGCATGTAGCGCTCTGAACATAGATTTACGTT